AACATAAAGAATACCATGTTAATTCTAAAATGCTTTTTTATTGCCGAGATATCAAATCATTTCTGTAAAATCAGTATGGAAATTAACCTTACAGGGTAATCAAACTTAAAGAGCTCAGAGGACTCCCCTCTAGTCTTAGGTTCAAAGTACAGCAAACAAAGATAAACACTCTAGTAAAAGGTACATTTAGAAGTTGAGAAAACAAAGGAAAACTAAGATGCCTTGCCTGGCTATTTACTTACAAGTTTGAAATAGGAGAGACTTGTTTAGAAAGATGTGGAGAACCTGGATTGATGTCTGGTCCCTCTCAGTCCCGAGAACAAACACACAACCAAAACAAAGAACACAAACAAAAGCCTTCCCTCCCCCCCCAAGATTTGAAAGTATCTTGTCCCCTTATTGGTCCTTTAGGTCAGATGCCAGCCAGGTTACCTGAGCTTCTTAACCCTTTACAGGGAAAAGGATTTTGGAGTCTCTGGCCAGGAGGGATTTTATAATACTGTACACAGGACAGCTGTTACCCTTCCCTTTATAGTTATGACACCATCTCTGGAGATATTTAAGAGTAGGTTAGATAAATGTCTATCAGGGATGGTCTAGACAGTATTTGGTCCTGTCATGAGGGCAGGGGACTGGACTCGATGACCTCTCGAGGTTCCTTCTAGTCCTAGAGTCTATGAATCTATAAAAAGAGCCCTGCTCACATAATTAATGGATTAAGTATTGTTTATTCTGCTGTAAGGAAACAATGAGGTATTCACCGCTCTGAGGCGTTGCATAAACAAGCAGCACTCAGGAAGACAATGTCCTTGAAAAAGTTACTAGGGGGGAAGCTGTGCTAGATTTGTTCTACAATGTCCTGTGTCTTTTTCTTTCATTTCAAACAGTTAACTCTCTGATTTAATATTGTTCATTTGACAATACTGAGAAATGTGGTGTGACGTTGCACTCCATATGTTTATGGAAATATGCTTATAATATATAATGTATATATAATGTAACTGGAATATGCTTTTATGCAAAAGGTCTCTTATATTGTATCATTACAAAGTTTATGATCTATTGAGTATGTTCATTCTATTTGTTTGCATGTATTATTTCTATGTCTGGAGTTAGGAGAATAAGAGGCAAACTTGTATTAATGATGTAAACATGTTAAGTGGAAGCCATTCAGGGTGCTTCAGAATCAATGAACTGTGAATGTACCTGTCTTCCAGCTATTAGGCTCCAATGAAGGAGATCTTACAGTGACCTGTGATCATGTCACCTGAACTGGAATACATCTTACACCTGGCACTTTTCCATTTAGAAGGAAGGGTGAGAACCCAGAGAGATTCTTGCCTTGTACCAAAGCTATAAAAGAGGGTGGAACCGAACAAAGGGGAAGTCAGTCAGGAGAAATCCCTGAGTTACAACCTGAGTTGGAACAAGGGCTGTGCCAGGGGAAAGGATTTGGCGCAGACTAGGAAGGAGTGTAGTCTGTGAAAGAAGCTTATTGGAACATCTCTGAGGTGAAATTTACCTGTATTCGGTTTCTTAAATGTATTAGGCTTAGACTTGCGTGTTTTGTTTTATTTTACTTGGTGACTTACTTTGTTCTGTCTTATTACTTGAAACCACTTAAATCGTATCTCTTATACTTAATAAAATCACTTTTGTTTATTAATTAACCCAGAGTAAGTGATTAATACCTGGGGGAGCAAAGAGCTGTGCATATCTCTCTGTTAGTGTTCTAGAGGGCAGACCATTTATGAGTTTACCCTGTATAAGCTTTATACAGAGTAAAAACGGATTTATTTGGGGTTTGGATCCCATTGGAAGCTGGGTGTCTGGGTGCTGGAGACAGGAGTACCTGCTGAGTGGTTTTCAGTGAAAACCTGCAGCTTTTGGGATGTGGTTCAGACCCTGGATCTGTGTTGCAGCCGGCTAGCGTGTCTGGCTCAACAAGGCAGGGTACTGGACGTCCCAAGCTGACAGGGGAAACGGGCTCAGAGGTAGTTTCAGCACCTCAGGTGACAGTCCCAAGGGAGTCTCTGTGACCAAACCTCTCACATGTGTTCTTGCACCTCCAGCACATTGCTATTTACATCTTAACTGGGTGTGGAGGTTGCAGTAAAAACTATTCCAAGCAGAGAACTAGCAGATGAGCCCCTTGGTCTATGATCGACAATCCCTGTGGCATTCAGAAATCCTAAGCCCCACAATCGGTTGGGCTGTTCCATGGTTTTTTCATGAGTTTCTCTGAACCGTGAGCTCCACTCAGACCTTTGATTCAGTGATGCCTTGGTGACTGCTGCTGAAACCTCCTAGTACACCACATAGCCACGTACACAAGTGCTTCTCATGGTGCACAAGTGTTCACACCATTGTGATTGCATTTGCTGTGAGCAAGACTAAGTATTACCAGGCAATGGGCTGGATGGCCTGACTTAATCGGAATCTTCCATGCCTACCTCCTATTTCAGCACACTGTAGTTTAACTGTTTGGTATTCCTAATTTCATCCTTTCATCTCTCCTTCTTTCCCAGGCACCTGAGGGCTATCGGCAGCCCCTGCTTTAGCAATGATCAGGCTCACAGTCACCCCGAAGATATCCCTTGTTGATGAACCACTGAAAATCCAGGTCTCTGGCTTGCCCCCCTCCCAGCTGGTGAACCTCCAAGCCTCTCTGACCGATGAGAAAGGGCTGCTCTTCTGCTCCCAAGCACTCTACTGGTCAGATGAGGCTGGCGAGGTGGACCTGGAGCGGGCTGCTGCCACTGGAGGGGATTACGTTGGTGTGCAGCCCATGGGTCTGTTTCAGTGCCTGAAGCCAGAAAAGCTGTTCCATAGGCTGATGAAGCGGGATGTGATGCAGAGTCCCTTCCGGGTTCGCCTGGACTTGTTCGACTCATATCACCCCATGTTTTCCTCACCCCGCGATCAGCCTGCAGCCAGCCAGACTGTGGAGAGGTGGTACGTGGCACCCGGAGTACAACGGGTCCAGATCAGGGGCAGCAGAGTCCGCGGAGCCCTCTTCCTCCCTCCAGGTGAGAGAATCCCCGTCTCCTCGGTTCTAGAACTGGGTGAATGAGCCATAAATAAGAACTTGATTCAGCAAAGGTTCCTTTTTCTGTTCATGAATGGTCTGCCAACTGATTGCAATCTTCTCCAATGTCTTTGTTTGCCAGATAATTTCTGTGACTAATTCCTGTCCTGAAGATTGTCCCCAGGAGTTTGTCATGAGTGCAAAAATCTCAGCTGCGTTGGTTAGTTTTCCCCCAATTCCATTCCTTTCTCTCTCTTCTCTCTTCTGTCCTCCACCTCTTTCTCATCTGCCTCATCTTTCTACGTAAGGCACAAGCCCCAGTGCTTGTGAACAGCCATGCAGAACTTTCTTCCTCTTCATAACCGAGCTCTCTGTGTGCAAACTGGAGATCCTGAGGCTGTTACGCTGATGTGATTACAGAGCCATTGGCCATTATCTTTGAAAACTCGTGGCGATTGGGGGAGGTCCCGGACAAATGGAAAAAGGCAAATATAGTGCCCATCTTTAAAAAAGGGAAGAAGGAGACTCCGGGGAACTACAGACCGGTCAGCCTCACCTCAGTCTGTGGAAAAATCATGAAGCAGGTCCATAAGGAATCTATTTTGAAGCACTTGAAGGAGAGGAAGGTGATCAGGAACAGTCAACGTGGATTCACCAAGGGCAAGTCATGCCTGACCAACCTGATTGCCTTCTATGATGAGATAACTGGCTCTGTGGATATGAGGAAAGCGGTGGACGTGATATACCTTGACTTTAGCAAAGCTTTTGATATGATTTCCCACAGTATTCTTGCCAGGAAGTTTAAAAAGTATGGATTGGATGAATGGGCTATAAGGTGGATAGAAAGTTGGATAGATCATCAGACTCAATGGGTAGTGATCAACGGCTCAATGTCTAGTTGGCATCCAGTATCAAGCGGAGTGCCCCAGGGGTTGGTCCTGTAGCCGGTTTTGTTCAACATCTTCAGTAATGATCTGGATGATGGGATGGATTGCACCCTCAGCAAGTTTGCGGATGACACTAAGCTGGGGAGATAAGCTAGACGGTAGGGATAGAGTCCAGAGTGACCTAGACAAATTGGAGGATTGGGAAAGAATCCAAAAGAAATCTGATGAGGTTCAACAAGGACAAGTGCAGAGTCCTACACTTAGGATGGAAGAATCCCATGCATGGCTGGGGACCGACTGGCTAAACAACACTTTAGGACAGAAAAGGACCTGGGGATTATAGTGGATGAGAAGCTGGATATGAGTCAGCAGTGTGCCCTTGTTGCCAAGAAGGCTAACGGCATATTGGGCTCCATTAGTAGGAGCATTGCCAGCAGATAGAGGGAAGTGATTATTCCCCTCTATGCGGCACTAGTGAGGCCACATTTGGAGTATTGTGTCCAGCATGGGCCCCCCACTACAGAAAGGATGTGGACAAATTGGAGAGAGTCCAGCAGAGGGCAATGAACATGATTAGAGGACTGGGGCACATG